ACCAAGAGGTTAAAGGTATACAAGTGGGAGCTAAACAGTACAAATTGAAAGCATTTGCTGATGAAAGATGGTTGTCACCAATGGAAGCGAAGGCACAGAAAAAACTCAATATGGAGGCCAAATGGCCGAAATATTGGGAAATTCTGGAACAAGATGGAGACAGATTAAAATTGCAGAGCTTTGAAAAATTGAAAAACAGAGTGCGAGATTGGGTCCATTATTATCAAATAATGGAGGCATACAATATGGACAAAAAAGTTGGTTTCCAGGTGGAAAAATCAAAATTGGAAACAGAATTGTTAGAACCAAAAATTAAGAATTTGTCAAGAATGTATAACTTGCTGTTGAAATGGAACACTCAGGGTGAAATGGTGAAATCAGCTATGATTAAATGGGCACAAGATGTTGGACATAACATAATGATGGCTGACTGAGAACAGTTATGGACCACAGGTATAAAATTCATGGCATGTAATGCCCTAAGAGAAAATTTAATGAAAATGATTTATAGGTGGTACATGACACCAGTCAAGCTTGCAAAAATTTACCATTTGCCCGACAATAAATGTTGGAAATGTAATGAGACTGAAGGTACATTCTTTCACCTTTGGTGGGCATGCCCAAGGATTAAGACATTCTGGGAAATGATTTATAACGAAATGAAAAAGGTATTCAAATATACCTTCCTGAAGAAACCAGAGGCCTTTCTCCTGGGCATGGTCGGCCAATTGGTGTCAAAGAAGGATAGAACTTTTTTTATGTATGCAACTACAGCAGCAAGAATACTTATCGCGAAATATTGGAAGACACAAGATTTACCCACCCGGGAAGAATGGCAGATGAAGTTGATGGACTATATGGAATTGGCGGAAATGACTGGCAGAATCCGAGACCAGGGAGAAGAGTCGGTGGAAGAAGACTGGAAAATATTTAAAGACTATTTACAGAAATACTGTAAAATTAATGAATGTTAGAAAAATGCTGGAATGAAGTTATATGGCTTTAGTAGAAATGTTATAAGGAATTAAGTATAAATAGATTAATAGAGAATTAAAGGGAAAATTAAGGTTAAAATGTGTTAAGAATTATAGGATAGAAAACAGAGGAAGATGGAAAGGAATTGCTGAAACAATTAACAGAAGTGGAATACAAAAAGGGAGGTGTGAGGAGGTCACTGAAATAAGTGAATGAAAGATAAGATATTGAAACTGTTTGATGTGTTTTAAATTGTTTTTGTTTTGTTTTGTTAGTTTAATGTGTTAGTGTTATGTATTGTTTTTGTATTGTATTGTTTATTCTTTTTTTGTAATGTTTAAATTGTTGGAAAAGTAATAAATATTATTTTTTTTAAAAAAAAGAATACAAAATATGTGTGTGTTCCACACTGTGCAATGGCCCCTCCAGACAGCAGTGCCCTGGAAACAGAACATAAATTCTCAAAAGACTCACACACCCCAGGAGACCACAACCTTTTCTGCATTCTTCAAAACAGCAAGTGCAAGCCTGACCTCATTCACGAGGTGGGATAACAGGGTAAAGATGGGCATTTCATCTGCCAGCAAATCTGCTTGCACTCAGAAGGGATCTAGCAGTGGAGAACAAGCTGGCGATAGCGAGAGGGGAACTTCCCATTACTGTGCATGATACACAATCTGTAAAACCAGCTCTTTAGCCCCCAAGAGGATTGGTCGCCAAGATTCATATTCCCTCACTGAGGGTTTCAGATTAATCTAATACCTTGGAGCAAGCAGTCTTTCATACTCCTGGGGCCTAGTTTTTAAAGCTTTTCTGGCTTTGGCTGACAGGAAATCATTCTGGACATTAATCCTCACAGGTGATCTTTTCCATCCTGATTGCACTCAGATCCCAGAGCTGGGACCAAGAGAGGCAGAGGCAATAAAGGGGTGTCAGGGAGGAATGGGACCATATGGGAATGAGTTATAGCACAGTGGCAGTGGAAACAAACCAAGCAGCCTTCCATGCAGACAGATCACACACAAACACACAAAACTACGTATATGCATGTACACTGCATTTCTTTTCATCCAGTGGGAAAATCAATAGTAAGTCCACATAACACCCAAGCATAGTGTATATAATATATATGGACGTGAAAGAAAGATAGGGAGACTACATGGTGAGGGGAAAACAATAGGCAGAAGTGGAGGGTGGAAAATCCCTCTCTTTTTCTCAGTGTACATGGACTGGAGTCTTCTGGCAAGAGACAGAACTTCTGACAGCAGATAGAATGTAAGAATGAAACAGTTTGGAGAAAGGTTATGCCATGGTATATGCTTTGCAGTTTGCCTCAGTGACTATGTATGTGCATTTCATGTCTAATATTGTCTCTGTAGCTAATAAAACTTGTAAATCTTTGCCCAACAACTTCCCTTGGCAGAATGCATGGATCCATGGCTTGTGAACTTTTGAGCTGAGCATAGCACTTGAAGCAGACAATAAAATTGTTCTTCCCCTTCAACATAGGGTGTTTCCAGGCTGTTGTTATTTTCATATATGGACAAACTTTGTTTATTGGGGGGGGGGTTTCCTTTGTAGAACAAACCCACTTTCCCAAAATCTTGGACTTTTGTGATAAGGAAAGTGGCAGGGGAATGCTCTAGAAAGTGTGGAATAACACTCATAGGATGCAACTTCATCTAAGTTCCTCACAGGCAAATCAGGATGAATACTCACTGGGTTTCCCATCCATGCCTAATGAAAACAATGAACTATATCTTATCAAAACTTAAGTCAGGCAACCCCGAGACCCAATCATAGAGTAGCATTCGCAGTCCAGGTCATATGTCCAAACTCAATAGAGGGTATGCATCCATACGCAATAGAGGGCAATTGGTGCATCTTCTAGGTTCTCTGACATCGTGGCAAAAAAAAAGAAACAGAAAATCGTATATCCCTGCTCTCAAAACACTGGACCGAAGCAGAGTGTAATACACCATACAAGAATCCAACTGATAGCTCTGTAATGGACTGTATCCTCATTTTTACACTATGAAGTCTTGCTGGAGGGGCTTTTTTATTCTACACAGAATATTAGCAGTGCGATTAGAACCGAATAAAACTGGGTCTCCTCTGCAGCATAATTGGACACACTTCAAAAGTTGTGGGAGGTTTTGTAATAAAACTTCACACAGTTAACTCTCCTCCTATATCAATGAATTTGCCTCCAATTTTCTCCTTTTTTATATGATAATGATGTACGTGAAGCGAGAGAGAGCCTTGATGGAAAGTTTGGGAGGGTGGGCTTCTCCTTCTTCCTCCTGCTCTCCATTATTCAAGAAACTGAAACCCCAGACAAGGAGGCTGCACCCTGAGGACAAAGGCTGGCTGTGAACAATGCGTTGTTTTACATACAAAAGTATTCTGGGCAATGTGGGGAGAGAAGATTGAATTTTATTTTACTTCCTTTTATAGATTTTAAGGTTGCCTGCCAGGGAGCACATAATGCTTACAGCGATTCCTGATCCTGCTCTGATCTGATCACTTTGTGCAACAGCTAAGCAGGATCAGAAAGCTTTGCCATGCTCAGCTCTGCTGCTAATTCAGTAAGAGGCCAGTTTCTGCCTCTGAAGTAATACGCCGTCATTTTTATAAAGGGGCATTATATAGCTGGAGAAATGAATGTCTGAAAGAGGTGTGTTGCCCTCTTAATTGCTCTTTATCTAGCATCTTGAAAGTGTTTTACTTAACTGATCTTACATTATAAAATAATACTCCTGAGGATCAACCTCTCTGTTGTTCCCATTTAAGAAATAGGGATATTGCTCAGAGAGAGGGATGCCATTTACCTTGATCACACGGAATTTGACAGAAGCTATATTCAAGCCCTGGTCTCCCCAATCTATGGCACCCAGAGGCTGGTTAAAACAGCCACATTCATCATTCACTGACTGCAGCGAATAAATGCTTAATTACATGTGAGAACCAGCAAAAGGCAAAACTTCCAATTCATCACCACAGTGGAAGCAGTTCACACAACTTAGCTCAGAAAGAACCATCAGGTGATAGCAGGTAGTTCAGCAGTGCATTTAAAGAGTATATCGTATACAAACCAAAACAGCCTCCTTCAAAATGTGCACTTCTCCATTTTTTTCAGTGCAGTTCTCCTGCCAAGTAATATGTACAGAAATGCATCTACTAGTGTAAAGCGTGCATATAAATGCATATACAGTGGTACCTCGGTTTAAGAACAGTCCTGTTTATGAATATTTCGGTTTATGAACTCTGCAAAACTGGAAGTAGTGTCCCGGTTTGCGAACTTTACCTCGGTCTAAGAACGGGATCCGAACGGTGGAAGGGCACCGGCGGCGGGAGGCCTCATTAGGGAAAGCGCGCCTCAGTTTAAGAACAGTTTTGGTTTAAGAACGGACTTCCGGAACGGATTAAGTTTGTAAACTGAGGTACCACTGTATTCATAAAAATAACATACAAAATGCACTACAGTAGGCAAAATTGCTTTGCCAAAATGAGTGAATTAGGAGAAATTCACACTAAAATGCCGATAAAATGAGGGGGTTTTTTAATCAACAAACGTGGTAATGTGGAGAACTGAACCCAAGGCTGAAAAAACAAGAAACTGAAATTGACATATTTGCCAATACCTAATTATAGAATCATAGACTCTGAAGGGACCCTGAGCATCATCTAGTCCAACCCTCTGAAATGCAGGAATATGCAGCTGGTCCATACAGGGATTGAACCTGCAACCTTGGTGTTATTAGCACCATGCTCTAACCAACTGAGCTACTGTCAAGCACATGTGCTTTAATATTGTCAGGTCCTTCTCAGTGGTCTGTCATCATGGGAGATGTACTATGCAGCAAAAGCTAATGTGAAAAGCAACACACCTCCGGCCCAAGTCCAGAGAGAACAGCTCTTTGCCGATCCCTGACATGTGGCATAGCACATAACACAGGATCATAGGAAGCTGCCTTTTTGCGCTGGACCATTGGTTTCAGGCAGAAGCTTTTCCCAGACCTACCTGGAGATATCAGGGGTTGAACCTGGGACTTTCTGCATGCAAGGCAGATGCTCTACCACCAAGCTACAAAACAAAAGGGGCCAGAATTTTAATCAGACAACACTATTGAGAGAAAAGACGACAAATGCAGTTAAAGAGAGAAAGAGAGGCTCCAGCTGGTGTCTCCCCTCCCTTTCAATCACTCTTTAAACTGTTGGGAAATTATTCATTTGTATTTTATCAGCTAATTATACAAGTGCTTTGGCATTTGAAGAAACAGCCCTGCTCTTTATTTAGTGCCTGGTAATTACAGATGTCTCTCTTGATCCCTCTGTTTTAATGCAAGACCTTCTCTTTCCTTTTGAACAAACAAGGTGCCAACCCAAGAGGTTAAGGACCTTGAATTATGAGTTATTATCTTGTTGAACACAAAAGGCAAAATGAATGTTTCAACACAAGCAAGGATAGAGATGTATAGGGCTTTGTAGTGCTGTAACTCGAAGAGGGTAAAAACAGAAAAGAAACTTGTCACCCATTGAGAATTGTAATACATGGGTATGTTTGAAGTTCCCTATGACAGCTTTTGTATACACACTTCCTGATTGTCATTTAGATGGCTAGACAGCTAAAGTACAGCCCAAAGCGTATCAATGGGCTAACCATCACTTAGAACAGGGGTTGGACCAAATAGTATCGAAAACAGCCTTACTAGAAAAATTAACCAATAAACTGAAACTGACACGGGAACAAACAGAAGAAGACGCCTTTACCCCGGTATGTGTTGGGATACTGCCAGGGAGACAAAGTCCATCATGGCCCCCAAGCTGCCTCCGGACGTCCATCGATCTCCCGTAGACACGCAGTATCAGCAATTACCGACACGAGCTCCAGAAATAGCCTGCCACATTCCAGGGCTGATGCACGCTCTATCAGCAGATAATGCACAGCGAAAGATGCACGCAGGAGAGCATTATTTACAAGTTTATTCAGCGTTGATCAGAACAAAGAAAACATGACTGCCAGCTTCAGTGTCTCTGACACAGAGAGAGAAACGAAAATGAAGACACAACAGAAACATCCCGTGAACAGGAAATACGCAGGCCGTGACACAAACATCCTGCTCCCTTTTAAGGTGGAACGGAAATATCCTAACAGTATGGCTCCCCTTTATCACATACACAGCCCAACAAGACAATGACAAAAATCCACCAACAGCATACAAATCAATATGGCTAACCTGATCCAAAACACCCACCCACCCCACTCACACATGAAAACAAAGATCACCACAGCCAATCACAAACAAACAACCACACCCCAGGCCAACCCCAACCTCTCTCACCACCAAAGGAACACAAGTGAATAGCAGAGAACCTGTACAAGCAATGCTGACACAAAACCCCACATATATTAAGTATAATAGAAACATTGCCACCCCACCCCCACTCACCTTCCCCCCACTCCACCTCTTTCCCCCTCTTCTTCCTAAGGTCTCAACAAATGAAACTGACCTGTAAAAAATGTTACTTGGAAAAAAGAGAGAGAGAGAGAGATTGCACATAACTTTTGTAAACCAAGAAAATCTTTAATAAAAATACATTTAAAAAAAGAACAGGGGTTGGCAAGGTTTACCTTGCCTGGACCAGTTCACTCCAGCGGAGATCCCTCTGTGGGCCGGATTGCGCACGCACCCATGATTTCCAGCACCTGCACATGCGCAGACGCAAATTGTGGCACCATGGAAGTGAGTCCCCGCACTGCGCTGCGCCAGTTTAGCACGTGGGGACTCGCCAAGCAGGCGGCTCGTGGGCCAGTTAAACAACCCCTGTGGGCTGCTTGTGTCCCATGGGCCCTAGGTTGCCTACCCCTGACTTAGAAGGAAAAGCCCTGACACACAAGACCAACCTTCCCCAAACTGATGCCCTCCCAATGTTGGACTTCCAGACCCAGCTGGCGTGGACAGAGGTGATGGAAACATCTGAAGGGCACCAAGATGGGGTAGTCTGCAATACATCAGTCAGCTTTTTCTTAGGAACATAGGAAGCTGCCTTATACTGAAGCTGACCATTGGTCTGTCTAGCTCAGTATTGTCTACACTGACTTGGCAGTGGCTGTCCAGGGATCCAGGCCAGGTTCTATCCCAGCCCATCCTAGAGAGATGTGGATTGAACCTGAGATCCTCAGCATGGAAAGTACGTCTTCTACTAAGAGATCCTTCCACACAAGAAAGAGCCTTCTGCTAGTAGCCTTCAAGACTGTGCTACTAGGCCTTACTTAGCTTGTTTCAGTAACCTAGGCTTGTGACAAAAAATTGCCCCCACTCCTCCCTAACAGACCTAAGGTCAACTATTCCACTTCCATCTTAGTGGCTCTAAGACTTCCGATTCCTGATCTGAACATTGTGGAATCTGCTCCGAAATGGGACTAGTTTTCAACAGCTTTGTTTACAAGTCACACTTAGCATACAGGTAAGAAATTCAAGCAGATTATAAGGGATGCCCTTCCTAAAAAAAAAGGTTTCAAGGCTCACATTGCTTAAATAGAAAGACCACCAACAAAATTCTGTTTAGATATATTTATTCAAATAGGAGGAGACCAGTCAGGAAGATAGTTGGACAACAGGAGAGTCACAGCAGAGGATGCAGGGCACATTCCTGTGCCTGAACTACCGTATTTTTCGCCCTATAGGACACACTTTTCCCCCTCCAAAAATGAAGGGGAAATGTGTGTGCGTCCTATGGGGCGAATGCAGGCTTTCGCTGAAGCCTGGAAAGGAGAGGGGTCGGTGCGCACAGACCCCTCTCGCTCTCCAGGCTTCAGGAAGCTATCCGCAAGCCTTGGGAGCTCCGCGGGAGTTCCCGTCGGGCTCCCAAGGCTTGCGGATAGCAGCCTGCATCCCGAAGCCTGGTGCGCGCTTCTCCCCACCGCCAGCCCCACAAACTCGGGGGACAACGGGGAGGTGGAGCACCACCATCCCACTGTTCACCGACCTGGTTTGCGAAGTTGCCTGCATCCCAAAGAGAGATGCCTGCATCCCGAAGCCTTCGGGCAGATATCCACAAGCCTGGGGAGACCGGCGCGACTTCCCGCGGGCTCCCTAGGCTTGCGGATAGCAGCCTGTTCTGGGGGCTGGGGTCGGGGGAAGCTCAGGCTTCCCCTGCCCCAGCCCCGTGCCTGGGGGGGAATCTTTATTTCCCCCCCCAAAAAAAAACTAGGTGCGCCCTATGGGCCGGTGCGCCCTATGGGGCAAAAAATACGGTATCTTTCTCAGCAAGGGAGTCTGAGGAACAGAAGTGAGTAGCGGTGGCAACAAGAGACAAAGTTCTACACCTTGTTGACAAATTTAAAACTAAAAATCCCACCCATGCTGCTTTTTGGCCTTGAAGGTGCTGCTTGCTGCAGATACCACATTCGGGATCCTACCTAGAGCTGGGGGTTTTAACCAGTCTTCAACATGCTTCCTTATTCACCAGCGTAAGGTAACAGTCACCTACAGCAACTTTTGCCTTTCCACCTATACAGACTCACACTTCGGGGTTTTTTAAACTTCTCTAAACCACCTGCTGAGCCAGGATTTCAAGACTAGCTAATCATTTTCTGGAAACAAGACTCATTAGTTCTTTTCTTTTCTTTCTTTTTTAAACAACCCGCTTTTGGTGGCATAAGGAAAAAGAAGGAGGCAGGCAAATGAAAATTGATGAACTCCTGGATTCCAAGACATTTCAGGGTAAGCGGCTGTCTTTCAGAGGCCCAACTCAGAACAGAAGCACCAACTGCATACTAAATCTGTTCCCCAGTGCACACCATGAGATTGCGGGCGGGTGGAGGTGGGGGTTGAGAAGAAGTGCTGAAGCCACTGTAGTAATAGGCCTATAATAAAAGTTTACCAGCTTTTACATTGGCTCCAAGTAATTAGAAGGAGATGTTCCCGCAGCTCAAAGCTCTTTGTGATGAGAAAAGCAATTTCTCGAAACAGGTTTTAAGAGGTTCTTCTATTCTACCATTGCTTGTGTCTTGTAATTCCAGATTCTATTACTTAAAAATAACACTGTCAAGACAAAGCTCGTATATTACACAACATATACAGCCACATAAACCCCCATCTCCACTCAAAGCACCATCATCTAATGTAAAAAGAACCCACTCCCATTAATAAATAAAAAAAATCAGTTTCTAAACACTTCATTCGCTTTATACATTTAGAGAGGTTCATGAAGAGGGATGAATTCAGGTACTTCAATCACCTGAATTCAATCCTATCTGTGTCTCTTGCAGAGTTTGAGGAACCAATTAATAAGGTGGAAGTCAGTACTTCTCTCACCTGTTAGATGTCAAATATCATTTGATGGTAAACAACTGAGGACATAAAGAAACACAGTAAGAATAGCTAACTCATGAAGCGTTGTCATGAGGAAATGGGTGGCAAGATCTTGGGCCAACAGGTAGTAACTGTAGCCACTCAAAGATCAATAAGCTGAACCAGAAAGCAAGAGCACTCCAGGACAGGCCCTTCAGATCCCTGGACAGACTTGTTCCAAAAAGTGCTTGTGCTGAGTGCCTATTAGGCTCCTGAGGGCAGTTACCTCTCCCAGGTCCTGCCATGTGCTGGAAAGTGGAAACTTTTCTAGGAACATCCCTCTGTCTCAAACCAGACACCTCTCCATTGTTTCTAGCACAGCATGCAGTCTCTCGGGGCAGGGGGCAGGAAGAATGCCAGTAGAATCCAACTCAGGAGATGCAGCCCCTGGGGTCCTCGCTAAAAGTAAAAGCCAGGACTCCCCAAAAATTGTTGAGCTTTTTAAAGAAAATGCAAAATGAACTCCACAATTTTTCAACTGACTTGTCTAAGATCCAGGACAAAGTACCACCTTTCGGAAATTCCCCCATGACGTCAATTCTGCCTTTGAAATCCCAGTAATGTCTGGGAAATTCCAGACGTATGGCAGCCCTGCACTTGGGGGTTCGGGGTTTTGGCCTTACGTAGTCCTTATGTCCAGTTCAGTGTGAGGGTATATATCTGGTCCTTCTTTGAGTGGTGCTATTGACTCGCGGGTGGCACTGTGATCTAAACCACAGAGCCTAGGGCTTGCCGGTCAGAAGGTCGGCAGTTCGAATCCCTGCGACTAGATTAGCTCCCGTTGCTCGGTCCCTGCTCCTGCCAACCTAGCAGTTCGAAAGTACGTCAAAGTGCAAGTAGATAAATAGGTACCGCTCTGGCGGGAAGGTAAACAGCGTTTCCGTGTGCTGCTCTGGTTCACCAGAAGCGGCTTAGTCATGCTGGCCACATGACCCGGAAGCTGTCTGCGGACAAACGCCGGCTCCCTCGGCCAGTAAAGTGAGATGAGCGCCGCAGCCCCAGAGTCATCCACGACTGGACTTAATGGTCAAGGGTCCCTTTACCTTTATTGACTCAGCTGGCCCTTTCTCCTTGGAGTCAGCATCCAAGTCACTGCCAGTTGTCGTGACACCTGACAGGACTCTTGGTTTCCTGAACCTGCCATAATCAATAAAGTCAAAACATAAGACAGTGGAAAAACTAGAAGAACTCCACGTCAAAGACCACCTCAAGAAGATTCAACCCTGGCACAGGGGTGGTTTCCCCCCCTTCACTCTCTCTATTGTACAAAGTGACCCTCACAGCAGCATTTTCTGGTGAAAGGAAATTATAGCTTGGCATCTGTTTTTTTCACTGCTAGAATTAGATTGCTCATCTTATTATACCTTATAAAATTGCTCAGTGCCTGCAAGGAGAGAATTGATTTTCAATACCGTCCTTTCTTCTGCTGCTTCTTTTTAATAGCCACTTTTAAGCCCGTGCAATGTGCGCTCTGCCAGTTCCAAACAACACTATAATTCCCATGCCACACATACGGCTATTAGATGGGCTTCAGACTGGGAGACTTAAAAGTTCTTCCCATACGTTTCAAAGTAGTATGCAGGCCAGGGTATCCGCATTCCCGGAGCACAGCAACATGCTTGCTTTTCCTCTCTCTTGCAGATATATTGCAGAAGCACAGTTGTACTTAAAAGATTTCAGAGCGAGATGGCCTCTTTCAACATGGCCCTCTGGAGCATGGTTTTTTGCTTGCACACACATACAAACATGCCCGCCCTTGACACATCCTTGGCCTCTCTCTTGTTACTTAGCTCTTTTATCCTTGCCTTCTAGCTCCATGGCTCCATCCCCTTCATTATTTCTTCAACTTGTCTCTGAACTCTCCCCCAAATTTGTCGATGTGTTCTGTCACTCTGCTTTATTTGAAAGGAAAACACTGGTTTGGGGCACTGATCTACCAAAAACAAAGGAATAAAAAGGAACATGGCAGGCTAGTGAATGATACAAATTACTCTGGCATTTTCTCTCTGGGAAAAACTCAGCCTTGCCCTTTCTAAAGCAGCTTACTTACTTACTTACTTATTTACTTACACACACACACTTTTCTCCTCCTTCACTCGACAACCCCTTCTGCAAATACAGTTTTACTGAATAACCAGTGAGATTGGGGCTAGAACAAGCCCTGACGAAGAGTGTAGCGAAGGTGGCTATACAAGGCTGAATGCAAAAAAGAAAAAGCTTGATTCAGATTTGCATCCAGCAAAGGATTTCTTTTCCCGGAAAACTCATGATCTTAGTAACACCCCCCAAAGTGTCAGTCAGTTTGCTAGATTTGAAACTGTCACATACACAATAACTAGTATTAAATTTATTTTCCACTGTGCAGCATTGCAAACTTTTTATATACATCATTAAAAGGCATGGTTTGTCCACAAGCCTGAATGCCAAGGAGGGGACAATTCATTCTCCCCAAAGCTATGGGGCAATTTCTGTGCTCCTAACTTCCTCAGGGCTCAGCTGAGCTACAGAGACACTGACCAGCACAGGAAAAAGAGGGGAAATTCCACCTCTCAACTACCATGGAACTTTAAGGTTGTTATATATTATTTTTGCAATTTGCAAGTCATACTGAATTGAATTATCTTGATAGTTTAAATAAAATGCATCCACCATATTAAGAGAACTTTACATTTATATTCCCAAGTATCAAGAAATACAGGACACATCTAGGCACGAGTAAGGATACCACTATGCTTAGTAGTAGTAGTAGTAGTAGTAGTAGTAGTAATAGTGGGAATGAGGGAAAATTTTGATTCAGTTCATGTTTAATCTACCTAATCATCTTTCCCCCAAAACAATACATGAACACAGCCATCCTTCAAAAACTGAACTTCTCTGAATTTTGCAGTGTAGGTCTCTGGCCACATGATATGTACAAAATGCATATCCTATGGTAAAGTGTACATAAAAATGCATATATTCATGAAGACATACATCTGGGGAAAGTTGTTTTGCAAAAAATATGTAGATTAGGCAAAGTGTCATACAAAAAATGCATATATTCTATATTAGGAGAAATTCTCACTAAAATGCTGGTGAACTTTTATAAGATTTTTTAAATAGAAAAAGTCCCAAACTGACGTGGAGAACTGAACTTAAAGAGAAACTGCGAGAAACTGAAATTGGCAGATTTATCCATCCCCAAGCAGGTATCCTTCTTTACTTGTTAAATACATGATAAGACTCAAATACTGGAGAAGCTTCTTTCTCAAGCTTTGTTGAAATCAGCACCCTCATCATCACATTGGCTCATTTTCTGTCATCACATGTGATCAAGAAACTTCCTGATGCCAGAAGAAGTTTGGATTTGAGCTACGGGTAAGTAGAAATGGCTGTTTTTCTTAAGGAAATAGCTCCAGATGACTCAGACAAGCAAACCATACTAAACCAAGCAGAAGACCATCCATCCATCTCTCTCTCTCTCTCTCTCTCTCTCTCTCTCTCTCTCTCGTCATAAGCTAATCAAACCTTGAAAAACAACCAGAACAGAAGTCATACAAACACCGGCTGGTATTGCATTACAAGGAACTACATAGGGTCATTCCTGCTATCAAGATTTATTGTACCTCACAAGACCGCCTTCAATTTTCTTTTCATATCAGAACAGAAGATATAAGGCAGTGTCTGCACCTCCTACATCATTCATTCATTTCTCATACTTTCAAGTAAAATTCAGTCAACACTAGATGAATCCTTGAGATCCTTTTCACAGTTTCAACATAAAGTAAAATAAATAAATGCAGTTGTGGGACATGACAAGATCTGGGACAGATTTGGGCTATACAAACTAGACTTTAATTTTAGAGAGATGAGGACCAGCCAATGCTTCTTATCACAGAATCCTAGATATCTGTAGCACTTGAGAGGTAAACCTATTCACTCTGCAATCTCCATCTTGCAGGTTCATGTGGGAAGAGGCGGGCTTTCAGTTCAGTAGGAACATAGGAAGCTGACCATTGTAGACCATTGTCTACACTGACTGGCAGTGGCTCTCCAGGGTTTCAGATAGGGCTCTCTCCCAGCCCTGCCTAAAGATGTTGGGAACTGAACCCGGTACCTACTGCACACGAAGCAGTTGCTCTGCCACTGAGCTACAGTCCTCCTAAAATGGCACGGGACAGTTAAGAGCTCTGTTAGTAATAGCCAGCACTCAAAGGCACTCCAAGCCACAACTGATACCTGGGCCTCCAGGAGCAAAGTCAGTTAAAGCAGCACTCCCAATAATGTGGACCAGAGCCCTCAACAGGAGTACAACCCAAGTCACAATAGGCCATACATTAAAACCTGGATCAGCTGTCCTACTGACTAGACGCATTTCTGCCTTATCTGGGTTACAACTCAGCTTATTAGCCCACATCCAATCCATCACTTTGTTCAGGACCTCCACAATGTCATTGGCATTAGAATAAAAAGAGACAAAGAGCTAGACATCATTGGCATACTGATGACACTCGGCTCCATATCCCTGGACAAGACAGAACCCAATGGAACCTCAGGAGCCACAGGACTCAACAACAGTTCTCCCACACAATCTTGTGGGCCCTGCATGCTAAGTAACACTGGAAACATCATAAAGCAGCACCCTCCAAGTTACTAAGAATAATGCTCCAGAAAGGCATGCCATTAAGTTGTGCAGGGTATTCCTTTGCATACATTCCTCATTCTTGAGGTGCCAATTTCCAAGCCCATAAAAGTTGTTGCTTGGCAACCAAGGCAGCATGTCGACTCCAAGTCACATGCATTTTCTTTAGGGCCCATTGGGCCGGAATGTATCCAAGCACCAATTGAACAAAAGGAGAATTCACAGCCTATGCTGATTCAGAGGGTTGGTTCATTCCTTGACAACTTTTGAGGGGGGAAACCCCACAAAATTACTTTACAGTCATCTGTATCCAGAGCATAGCTCTCAACGTTTCCCTTTTTTTAAGGGAAATTCCCTTATTCTGAATAGGATTCCTTGCAAGAAAAGGGAAAAGTTGACAGCTATGATCCAGAGTGGCCTCTTAACTCTACACATCTCCAGCAAGCTGAGCAAGCTGGGCCAATTAGCTTGACCAATCCTGACCAGGGCCAATGAACTTGCAGTAACGCTTTCTGCAGCATAACTACAAGTCAAGCAAGAGCAAGCCTGTTTCTCTGGTTTCTTCACCTCTTCAAGAAGGAGACCCTTCATTAAAACCTTATTTTCACACACTGCAGCACTGCAGACTTAAATATATATATAACTTTCAACCCCTTTTGGCTACAGCCAACACCTTGAGGAGTTAAGCTTTTGTTAACAGGCACAATAAATACAGCTCTCAAATGCTTATTCATAAGCAAGCTGTTAATCTAATGAACGATAGCTGTAGCCACATTCTCTTCACAGTTTAATCTTCACTTACAATGTCAGAATACATTTGTTCTTCTCCGCTGCACTGGCTGATCCCTGTTGCACTCTCTCCCCAGGACTTGTGCACACCAAACACAAAGACATTGCCATATATTCCAGTCCATCAGATTCAGACAAGTTACCAAAGAAGCAAAAATAATTTATTAGTGTTTTCCTCCCTTGTTTCAAGCTGCTGTTTGTATGTTTTGTGCATAACACTGAAGGCCTGGTGGGACCAGATTAAGTTTCATCTTAAGGATGCAGAGGTGTCTTAGCAGCTAACATACAGGCCCTTTTTACACAGTCAATGTGTGTATAGAACAGGGATGGGGAACCTCTCCATACGGCCTTTGGGACTTTTCCCAAGCCATGCCCCTCACCAGCTCACCTCCATACCCTCCCTGAGCATTTTTGCCTGTATGAAATGTGTCCTTGAACTGTGATGCCTCTTACTTGTCTGGTTGAGCCAATCAGGGGAGCAGCAGGGCCACTTGGCCTGTGGTCTCAAGATCAAAGGGTGCCTCAAATTGAGACACTTTACATTTGATGAACTTTGCCACATACTTTTAGGTGCAGTGGACCAAAATATGACACACAGCTCAGAGTTGCAAATTTAAGCAACAAAAAGATGTGATTTGTTAAAGGAATTACTTTTTTGGGTTAACGGATATAGATTTTATCATATGAAAGGATTTGACATGTTCATAAATTTTAATAAAAAAACCTGTTCTGATAGCACAATATTAGGCCATGACGAAGTATCCTCCCAGACCAGCTGATTATATAAACAAACCACTCTCTCTTTTTTGTGCCTTATCTTGTTTTAATTTGTTGTCATGTTGTTGCTGTTGTTTACTCACTCTTCACTCTAAGGTCCCAGGGCAGGTTTCAGCAATTAAAACACAATGTTAAAAACAGTTTAAAACAACTCACAGACATAGAATGTATCCTAAAAAAAATACATATCCATTCAAGAGGGCCTGCTATGCCCACAAATGCCATCCAATCCAAACAGGGGGGATGTTATAGCCTTTTATAATAAATAAAAAAACCCAAAACACTGTCATTTTAATGACTAGGCAGAAATGAATGACTAGGCAAATAGTCCCATTTGGGGTGTGGGACCAAATTGGGCAGGCTCTGAATTTATCAGAACTGAACCAAACTGTTTTCTGAAGTGCTAAATCAGGGTCCAAACCAAATTATTGTGATCTGTGCATACCCCTGGTTCAGATATTTTGGAATCAGTTTCTGTTTAGGTCCCTGAAAACATCCAAATCAGCCATGAATTGAAGTAAAGGAAACTGAATCAGGATATTGATCGAGGTTTAATCAATCCAATGAAGGACTCAGTCTGGCAAACCATACTTTCTACCTTGAAAAATATGTGGCCGCATGCCCAAAGATAATCATAGCATGTTCATAGTTATCTATTATGCAAAAATAAAATAAAAATCTAGCTTCCTTCAACATAAAGACAAGGTGACAGTTTGCACGGCCAGAAAATATCCACATTATCAAGATTTTACTGGATGGCAGAAAGGGCCCCCCTTACTGCATTACACCCAGTGAACTAGAAGCAGGTAAAAATTGAAAGTTCACAGAAGGCGCTCAGAGACTGCAAATCAAGTGCGAGATCAAATATTTGGTGTTCATCAGTGAGGAACATAGATTACATATTCATTCAAAATTCCTTAATGTACATTGGCAACCTGGTAAAGTTACACCTAGAAATGAATCTGGGCAAAACTGCAGAACATATTGCTGCTCCTCTGTCCCTTGCACTGCGCCTTTCCCCACTGTGATTCTTTACTTCTTTTCCCTGTTCAGGACATTTGTACCTGCAGGCTGGTTGTTTACACATCTCCTCACCACTTCCCTAGCAATAGGGTCTTAACTTACTGGTGAATAAGTGATTCAGCTATTAGATCAGGTTTAGCAGACAGTGGAAACAACTGTCATCCGAGAAGCGATTTGAAAAGCTTGTCCCAGCCAATCAACAAAATGATTTAATCAAAGATATTTTAGCTACCCAAGCAGCTTGAAGGGGAAACACGCAAACAAGCTGTCAACAAAGCCAAAAGGATGCAGAGACGGTGAAGCAAAGGAAAAGAGGCTCAGACAGAAAATGAGAGAGAGAAATGGACAGGCATGCATCATTTCAGTGGTGACTGTAGATTTTAGGCATGTCAGATAGACTTCTGCAATGCTCCAAAGATTTCTGCTCCCATTCCCTTTGCCCTGAATTCACAACATTCTGCACCTGCCATCCTTGGCAAGGACAGGGAGCTGAAGCAGGTTGCAGCCCTTTGAACACCTGCGCCCTGTTTCTTTGCTTCTCTTCTTTGTCACAAGAGCCATTTGGTTTTACAACCTGTAGGAAGTGGCAGGCAGCCAGTAGCTCCCCAGCCTTTTTACAACGAGGATGTAGTGCTACTGAAAGCTGCTAAGCTGCCAGGGGGATGCTAAGCCTACGTGCTTGCACAAGTCAGCACAGGATGCTGGAATTTAGATCTGTTTCATTCTTAGCTCTGTGGTACCCAAGTCTGTTTGATTTGGCTGGAGCCTATCCTCCCTGTATCTCCAAGCATTAGGCTACTGGCATTTACCTTTCTGCAATGTGGTAGAGGGTGTTGCCCAGTGGGCTGTTCTTTTTGTAACTGTTTTGGATCAGCCTCAAAATTGTTCTAAATGTGCTCTCTTTCAAAGAAAGAAGGAGAGGACCTGGAGCTTTGCCAGTTACGTCTTCCAGCAAGGGAGTCGAGCCAGAGAGTCTGACTGAGGGGCAAGGCAAGAGGAGGTCAGATCTAAGAAGGCAACTGTGCCAGGTTGATAAGCAGGAGGATTAGCAGGAATGAAGAGAGAGGCTTGTAGGCAGAAATAGGCACAACCAAAACAGAGAGCAGACTTTTGCCAGTTGGTCACAACCGATGTTTTGTTACACAGGCCAAGTTTGCTAACAGGAGTCATTTATGTAAGGACAGAAAGGGTCATAACCAACTAGTGGAAAAAGATTTAACAAGCAAATAGCTAGTTACAAGCCTTCCTATGGCAAGAACCCAGCAGTTTAAGCAGAAAGGCTCCATCCTCAAAGTCCCCCAGTTTGAATCTGCCCAATGGTAAAAAAAGTAAAGGACCCCTGGATGGTTACGTCCAGCCAAAGGCACTCATCTCGCTTTCAGGACAAGGGAGCTGGTGTTTGTCCACAGACAGCTTTCTGGGTTGTGTGGCCAGCATGACTAAACCACTACTGGCGCAACAGAACACCGTGACAGAAACCAGAGCACACGGAAACGCCATTTACCTTCCCACCAGAGCGGTACCTATTTATCTACTTGCACTGGCGTGCTTTCAAGCTGCTAGGTTGGCAGGAGCTGGTACAGAGCAACGGGAGCTCACTGCGTCATGGGGATTTGAACCACCAGCCTTCTAATCGGCAAGCCCAAGAGGCTCAGTGGTTTAGACCACAGCACTGCCTGCGTCCCTTCTGCACACGGCTAGGCAATGAGCTATTTACAAAGATTTAAACATCATATGCATATGAGCAGCATCCAGTTTGGCTTCTCTAAAAAAAAGAAAGAAAGCCAATCCTTCTTTGAAACATGTTTTACTCACTAGGGAACTCGCAACTTTGAAGTGACCAGGCCTACCAAACTCGTGATCCTGTCCACTGTATGGTCTACTGCCTCAGTACTTGACCTTTATGGTGCATCTCCTCAGCAAGACCCACC